ATTTAGTTGTAAGAGGAAGTCTCGCAATTTGTTTCGAGAATACCAGCAAGTAAGAAAAATCAATTTGGCCTCGACAGCCAAAGATTCATCGAATTAATGATAGCTTTCAAGAGCGCGTACGTTTTCGCGTGAATAGCGTGCCTACATTCCTCGTCGATTTTCTTCTCATTGTGTCAACATGGCAGTTTAGACAATTTCGATGTCGCGTCTCGTACGCGGTGTAATTCGAGCGAAAAGCCCACGGCTTTTTTTCTTTTCTATATTGAGCAACGCAGGAACGTGTACTAATCGCTGGAATATAGCTTGTGCTCGAAGCAGTTACAATTTGAAACGTACACGTCGACAATCTAACGGCCGTTTCGGAGAGAAGGCGAGAACATTCATGAAGATCAATCGTTACGTACTTCGAATATCCTTCGAACAGTTCCACGCGGGCAGCTTATACTCGTAAATAATTAATTTGTTAATCACGGGGGACCAGGCGACTGGTCGTGTAGCACTGACGGCGTTAACGAAAACTTGAAATCGATATTTTTGTTTATCACTTGAACGAACGACGTAGGTTCGTCCACGAGGATGTCGAGTACTTAACAAAGATTATAGAATTTGTGCTCTTTCAACGATGTTCTTCGGAGCAAATTGGTTTTAGTTGTGACAACAGAGATTGCTTTTTCGGAGAGACTTCTCGTATTCGATTACGGTTCTGGTGCTTGTAATTATTTGTTGTATTAGTACACATTAGGTAAGTGGAAACCATAACCTGTTTCTTGTATTTAAATGAAAAGAAATGTAGAATACTGTCAGTGTCAGTAGTATTATATTTTAAGTTTAACTACCTGTTCATGCATAAAGTGTACTATGGTACAAACGAACTCTTGTAATTCAGCGCGTGACTTTTTCGAACAGATAGTTTTATAAAATATGCAATTAGAATGATTGTATGAGTTTGAAAAAATTATATGCACACATAAATTATAAAAAGTGAGAACTTTGTTAATATAATACGATATGTTTGTTGTGCATGATGCACTAATTACTCGATAAAAGCTCCAATAAGCAAATAAAGAAATATATAAAGGAATAGATATTGCGTGGATAGAAATATCGTTATAATGTACTTTATCCCAACGTCTCACCCGAGTGACTCCTTTAGTAGCTACTACTGCTCAACACTTATTTGACAACTGAACTCAATTATTTTAAATTTTTAGAATATTTGTAATTTAAATAATTATTGAAAAAAGTACCAACATAATTGGTCAATATAGTAAACCGAAACGTAAACGGTGGGATACTCTACAAGCGATATGATGAGATACTCTGAGATACCCTAAATGAGATACCCCAAAACCTTGAAAGTCTCAAATAAAACTAACCACCACATTATAACCACTAGCAACATTAGGTGTGTGTAGAAGTATAGTCCTCCTCTAGATATAGCGCAGTCGTAATATCGGTAAAGCAGAAAAAAACACACGTTTCCAGCGTCAGGATATCTATTTAAGGGATCAAAGAAACGATAAAATATTTCTGACCATTTTTTTGTTGAAAAGAGCCTACGAAAAACTAAAGTTCCATTAAATATTGCAAAAATGAAATAGAATTCATAGTTACCCTCGTAATAAATGAGCTCCATTTAGTCAAAATCCAATTTTTTTCTTGTAGGTTGGGGCAAAAGCCACTTTTTTCCGTCCAGGGGGGGGGGGCAAATGCTCCTCCCTCTGCCGCCCGTGGCTACGCCCACGGCTACAGTTAAAATCCAATTTTTTTCTTGTAGGTTGGGGCAAAAGCCACTTTTTTCCGTCCAGGGGGGGGGGGGCAAATGCTCCTCCCTCTGCCGCCCGTGGCTACGCCCACGGCTACAGGGAGAAGCCGCACACGGCTCCGGGTGTGGCTACACGACAATTTACAACCGCGCTAAATCTTGGCGTGGACTGTAACAGCAGTTTCTCCCTTTAAAATCTTAACGAACATCGAATAATTGCTACAACATCCGTTACTCCAAACAGATCCCTCAATATGTCTACGATTCTGTCACATTCCTAGCAAAAAATAAATTCCCTCTAGATAAACTACAGTAAAACCTTGATATGAAATCCTGCTGTCTTCTTTTCCACACACCTAATAAACCATTTTTGTCGATCCATTAACGCCGAATTACATATTCCGATTTCTATTGTACCAGTTTAATAACCTCGCGAATCGTTATGTCGAGCAGACCATAGACGCGAGAAGTCCATCGGAAAAATGGTAAATGTCTGTTGAACGAGCACCGGCGGATCTTTTCGTGGTATCCGCGATAGCCCGACGTGTACGCTTCGCTGGGGCAGGCGTGGTTTTTCCTAGAAAAGCAGAAAGGAAACCCGAGTGCGGCGAGCGTCCCCCTTGGCCCGTCGGGCCATCCCAAACTGTCAGACGGACGGGTCGCTGCCGGGGGCGGAGCCCGTCTTGCTGCCGTCGACACCAGCGCCGCCACCGTCGCCGTCGGCGCCCGCACCCTCTCCGCCCCTGTACGGCGAGCCGCCGGCCCCACGCGCCGACAGACCTCGGAAATCCAGGTTGTACTGAAAAACAGAGGCCAGAAAGTATTAACGAATGCACATTGCCGATCTTACGTTGTCACTGTACAAAAAATATTATTATTATGTTGTTCGTGGTTAATAGACTGACTTATACATGTTGTAAAGATATTTTATAAAATAGTAATTAAATATTTTAACGTAGGCTGGAAAGTATACTTATAAATTGTTTGCTTCATTTTTAGGTTGAAAATTATTAAATTAATGCAATGGTATTGAAAAATTCAATTTGATGGAGCTGTTTTTTTTTTTAAATAATAACAATAAATAATGTCCTTTGTTTAAAATCCGGAAAATTGTTTCATTACAAAATTGTATTACACTTTGATATGTCCAAGAGAAATTTATATGGTGTTTCGATTAGAAAGTACTTAAACATTTCACGTAACGAAGGAAATATAAACTCAAATACTGGTTAATAATTGTTTTATGTTCCGAAACGATTCAATTCTATTGCAAAATATTTTCCCTTGACGCTATTAATTTCTTGTTAAAAATTAAGTGCACGGGTATTATGTTTATTTCATTGTGTAAATGCAACTTCGGAAAATCGAAGAAATATAATATTGTTATTTTAAAACTTGGTGATTAAAACATTAATGTACAATCAACATTTCAATATGCAAGCTAAGCGTTATTCTCGACAGTACTTTGGATGTCAGAATGCGGCACCAAGAAAAATAAAAAAGAAAAATTGTGAGTTCTGTTACGAAACATCGTGTTACGACCATTCCTGAAAAAGATAGCTGAAAACAATAAAGCAGATTGGTTATCTATTCATCTGCGATGCTGTGGATTGTGTCGTACACTGCCACGCAGTGTAGCTTGTTCATCGAAGCGAAGCTGTTGCAACGGAAAAAAAAAACGTCTGTAAAAATACAGTAAAAAAAGATCCAAGCAAGTTCATACACTACTGCGACAGATATGCCTAAGCGTAAAAATGCGCGATGAAAATAGCACCCGATAAAAAACGATGGAAAAATCATTCGACGAACGCGAATGCCCGAAAACGATCGATCGATATCCACGACAGGAATAGACAGTTCAGCGATTAATTAAGGACAAATTGCTTAGCACTGGACAGTCAGTCGATTATCGAATCTCGTTGAAGTTAAAAATTGAACTGAAATTTCGATGGTCCTGCTATTCAGTTACACTAAATTATTCAGACACATTTCTATATTAATTATTTCGTATAACGTATTCCAGTTTTTAGCAGACTTAACGAATTGCTAATATGGTTTTTCCAGAAAAAATTTGGTAGGCAGTGTGGCTTTTTAGTGAAATTAAAAAGGTGAATATGAATCATATTAGAATACACGTGGTATTATGTCTGCGGTAAACTGTAAATTTATTAATGTAATTGAATTATTGAACGAGCGAAGTAAGTCCTGAATAGGCCACTTCTTGCACTATTATGATGAGTACTACTCTTTTCACGTTTGACATTCAGAAATAATATTTCGTTCGTGTATTCTACATCACCTGCAGATATGCACAATCTATAAATAAGTTTACCCGTTCAAAAAAAAATTAATCCCTCAATTTCTCACTGGCTATTATGCATTTTCCCATCTGTGATTCGATCTGTGTAATAATTGTTAGTAAAAAGTTCCACTGACATAAATTAATAATACTTGAAATGAACGATAAACAACTTTAACTTAACTGTCTCTTAATTATGCGAGTTCTATAAGGCATCCGCTTCTTAGCTAGTATAAATTTACTGTATAATAATATTCCGAAAATCTGTTCCTTAGAATACAAATTTTTATTGAAACTGTATATGTTATGAAACAATTATCACGTATTAAATTCGTTATTAGTCTACTCTCTCAGAAGCAAGCCCATTAAAATTTTTACACCGACCCAAATACGTTGTAGTCGTTGGGAGAATTAGTAATTACCCAATAAATTTTTCTACCCATAAAAATGTAAAATCAAAAAAGACTCGCACCCTTCGGAACAATCATAAAATACCATATCTCATACCCAACAACGTCCATAAAAGAAACTAGTTCACATACTACATAGTCCATTCAACCAGACTACCTTTTCCCCTCACACGAAAATACTACATCACACGAATCTACTTAATCCCGCAAAATCCCCCAGGAGTATCCATCGATCGATCGTAATCCGATGATTCGCGTTCGACGGGTCGCGCAGTTCGCCCGAAGAACGAAAATAAAACAGAAAAAGAGAGAGAACTGAACGAGAACCAACGAGATCCGTAGAAGCATCGTCAGAAGCGACAAAATCAAACTTGAAACGAAAGAAAAAAAAAACCAAAAGAGAAAAGATGATGAAACCAAAGTCGAACCTGTGCAAAACAAAGGAGAGCGGTTGTACATGCGCGCCTGGGCATCGTGGCAGCGCACGTGAACACATGCGACCTTCACGGTGCAACGAAACTCTGTGTTATCTCGGTAGAGTGGCGTGTCTTAGGTGCTGCAGCTGTGCGTGATGCAGCTGCAGCTGGAGTAGCTGTAGATTCTGCAGGCAATTTGGTGCCTGAGGTCCGCAACCGGACGTTGCATTGTTGCTAGACGAGTAGGGTAGGACAGAGGGATGAACGAAGGAAGCGGAGTTACGTGGACCGGTATTGATTGCGGAATTGGTGGTGATCGGCAAGGTGTTGTAATTGAAGGACGAGAAATTCAGGCTGGGCGTTCTTAAAATGTTGTGCAACTGGACGGAGGTCAAGGGATGGGGCTGCACATAGGGACTGGTCGATGGTAGCAATTGGGGGCTAACTGGGTACAAGCATTCCTCTTCGCTTAGGCCGTGCATCGTCGACGGACTGAGCTCCACGTACTGCGGCATGGTGAGATTGTGCTAGTCGATGAATACATGGAAGGACACGTAGACACTTTAGGCGTGATATGACGGCGTGTTTATGCGATTTCGTATGATGTCTGTCGTTCTGTGCGAATATTTGACCGTAAGGTGTATCGGTCTGATTAGAACGAACAGAGACATGCGATCGATACGATACGATTAGGTTTAGTCGTCAGAGTAGAGGACTTGGATTTTTTTTGTAAGTGAACCATTACTTTGAATTATTAGAAGACCGACGAGAGAGAAATGAGTGTTTAGGTATGTTAAGATTAGCATACATTATTGTCCCTGGTAGGATTGTAAAGTATGTAGAATTTTTTCCGTGCTAAAGATCAGATTCTGTAGAATTAAATGTCCATATGACAACTATGCTTACATATGAAATTTCCGTTGAAACTTATTAATATTGATCAGTTGCTACAGCATCTGCCGTTTGAAATGGTTACCCTCCGTTCCTACACTTTGTTGTCATTTATTTGCGCAGAAGTTAAATTTCCTATGAGTAATAAGTCCTAAATACTATGAGTACTATTTTTGCGTATACATATTCAATTATAATGCTTTATTTTTCGTGTTCTATTTAAATATATAATGAAGAGATGTTATTATTAATATTAGGTGTAATTCTTGAATGAAGTTTGCAATAGTTATTACAGAAATGCCTGTGGTGGACAGTTCACAATTATTGTCTACTATTTTTACTTACATATTGTGTGTGATATTTAACAAAAAGAAATACGCAAATGTTTTGTTATAAATATATAGCAAAAGTGAAATAATGAATATTTGTTACTGATTTTAAACTTATATACTGCATAATTGTATTGTGCAATAAGAATGTTTGTCCTAAGTGTAATATCCTCAAATGATGTCAGACGTGACACATCACGAACGTAACATCAAAATACGTACAGTAATTTAAACACTATATTCTCTCCAATTTGCCTTTCTTCGTCTCATTGACTAAGACTCGCATTACAGAACACCAAATATTCGCACAGAATTAATCACGATTTCAACGATTTTACGCACAGCTATACGTTTATAAAAAATTAAAATACATTTTCTGCTGACACAAAGCTAGCTACCATCAAAACAAAGTATCGTTCAATCTTTCCTCGCTTACCGTATAATTCCACTGAATTACTGTATTCATCGAACTTAGTATTACCATTTAACAAATGATCTGTAATTACAATCAAATTGAAAGGAACATCGATAATTATTAATAAAGAGAAAGCTAAGTATTTTTTAGAGCAAAGACTGAACGTTTTCCTGTTCTCGAGCAGAAAAAAAAAACGGTAAGACTCAAAAATACCGAAGAAAAGACAAAAGTACAAGGTGAACAAAATAATATACTGCGCCATCTGTGCTTGACTTTTTCGCGTTTAACACAGAGAAATGATCCATTTGGATCGACATGTTCAAACGGTCTTACCTTTGTGGCGCAGTCGAAGCATGCGGTGACCACTTTCGAAATCACGTACATTAGATTCTTTGTTTCGTGGATTACTTTATCGACTTTCCTAAAGGTGGCGGCTTTCCCGACGGTTGGGTCCATCACGGCGAACTGTATCATCTGGACGTACATCGGCACACGGTCGAGGTCTGTCAGGAGTTCTGTCTTGTGCGGGCCCCCTGGTACCTGTGCCCATGCAACATCGTATAAAATCTTACGTCTTCATTCGTGTCGCAAGGCAAACGTGCTCGTTTATCATTTACAACGATTTGGTACAGAATTCTTTGTTAAATATCATATTATCCAAATTCTATTATTTTATTTCATTTGAGTTCCATTTTATTAAAATTCAGTATTTCTTTTAATTGCTTCGATTTTATAGTTATTATTCATTGAAACGAATATTACTTTTAATAAAGGATAAGAGACAAACTTTTTATCGATACAATATCGATCATAAGATTTAAGTTTATTTAATAAAGAAAAGGTCTTGAACGTAAGTTTCCTTATTAGGACTTCAATAATAAAAGAACATGACGAAATCTGCAAAAATTTTCTTGTTTTTAAAATTATATAGATATGTATAATATTTTTTAAGGTATTAGAAGTTTTAGTATTTTTCATACAGTGTCATTAATTTGTCTAGTTTCACCCTCTTATGACGTTTGACGAGATTGTGAGTTCATTTCTACAACTTTATAATTTTCTTTAAATTAAACATTATTGCGAATAATTACCATTATTTTGACGAGTACTTGACGTATAGAACATTAGAAGTATTAGAGAAGACTGCTACTATCATTATCGTCATGATCGAAATGAACTTCTGACAGCAAACACAAGAAAATTCAATATGGCTACACCGAAACTAATGACAGCTTATAACAGATACATAAAACTTAATAGTAAATATGTTGAAATACGGTATGCATTCTCTAAAATATGTATGAATATTTTCAGATTCTTGCAAAGGTTATAAATACTGTTCCTGAGCAGAAAACTTAAATTTTTTATAATCTATACAATTTCATCAAATTACTTTGAAAACAGGGTTTTGTAGGTTCAACTAACTTATTTGTTACTCTATTAATACATTAAAAAGAATTTAAAGACTCGTAATAATACATACCAAATTATTAAATCTGTATGATCAATACTGTATACATATATGTTCGTAATTTCAGCTGTACCGTTCATATCAGACAATTTTTAATTTTAATGAAAATTTAATTGTTTTCTGAAGATTGAATACAATTGCCTGAACGTTTGAAAAATTACGTATTTGAAATAAATCGTTGAGAACCATCGATCACGTTTGCACTGCGATATTAGTCTTCATACATATGTAGCGTCTCTTAAAAACTCTTTAAAGCAATGCCTGATTCTATTCTTTATTCGTCGACTAGTAATATGTAAATACTTTGTAATACGATAGTAATAAATCTTGGATACTTGTAAGTTTGCATATCTAATCAGTTAACAGAGAAATTCTCTAGTCGTCCTAATAGAAACACAATGCAAAAGATTGAACGGAACAGTGTAAGTTGCTTGAGAAGAAGATTAGATAGTGACTGTGTGAATGACAGTGAAATAGTACAGACCTTGTTGTTTTTTGCAAGCTTCACGACTGTTACACAATCGATGCTCGGATTAAATTGCACTTTGCAAGTGATTGCAGCCAAGATGAAATTCGGGGATAATGATTTCATGAATGCAAAAAGCAAAGAAATTGTTCTCATCCAAAATTCTAAAATACTTTCAATTGTTTCAAATAAAATATTTTTAATTCACTTATAATGTTTCTTAAATTATTTAACGAATTTATATTTTTAAACAGAACTAGTACTCACCCGATTTTCGTTTTTTGATACCAGACCATAACTTACAATTAGATTCGTCTTGATCAATATAATAAACAGACTGCGGATTTTATGCATTTGAAATACGAAAAATAGAACATTATACGTAACGTTGAATACCATTACAGTAATATTTTCAATTTAATAGAACTTATAACGTGGGGAATAAATATCTATACTCCTGTTCATAATTATTACGGCACCTGTTGCGTCTGGGGAAATTTCGATAACTTATAAAGATTATAAATTTTGCATCATTATTATTTACTTGCGCAAATATAGTCTATTGAGCTTTAATCACCTATAGAGAATATTCATCCAAGATATTCAATAATTAAATAATGTTCTTCAAAATTTACTTCACATTTGATCGGTACGTTCATAATTACGAACGGGAATTTGTATTCATCATATTTAGCTTGATCAATCATCCAATTCATCAAAATTATAACTACTTTGCAGCAGTATTTTGCATAAATATTTGCAGTCTAACGACGAACATACACTGAAATATTTTCATCTTAGCTGATTAATGTGAACGTTTGTGATAAATCGAATCGGAAGCTGGCAAAAACTGAGACATAATAGTCATGCCCCAGATAGTGGAAGGAGGGGGACCACAATGCACATAGACGTCGTCCACAGACGGAAGCATTCCCGTAGCATCTAAAACACACCTTTCTAATCGTACACAAAAAATTCATAAATGTACGCACAGAAAATAGATTTACCAACAAAATAATGATCGTAGTCGATTCGATGCCGTGACAGGGGTGACAATTCAATAATAATAATAACTCGTCTAATCGTTGAAACAAGAGTCACGTTCCTGCGAAATCTACAGATTCCAAAAATACTCTTGCGTTCGCATTCGTAAATACAAATAAAACACGGAAAATGTTGTACGCACGGAAACACAATCGAATCGTTCCATCTCAAATAATATATACTCGGAATAAACAAAAACTCTTCGTCGTTTTCGAGTTTCAATTATATAAAACTTGACATGCGAAGAATAATTGCTTATGTGAATTAACGTATGTTTCTACATATATACATATATACAGGGTGTTAACAAAAATGTGGAAAATTTTCACAGAGGGTGTATTCTACATACCAAACTGACACATAAATAAAAAATGACGAAATTGCGTTCGAGGCGTTGTTTCTGAAGTATTAATTGTTGAAAATACGGGAAAAATATACAGAGAATCCCAAAAAGAGGGGACAATCCGCAACATGCGTATTCCTCATACAAACACACATCGAAAAGTCCTTTGCTCGTCGGATCGGGCGCTTTTTGACTGTGCTGCGCGTGCGTGTGAGTTCGTTTAACTGCTAATATCTTGAAAAGGGAGCTTCAGATTACAAAACGGTAAAGGACTTTTCGATTTGTATTTGCATGAAGAATATGCATGTTGCGGTTTGTCCTATATTTTTGGGACACCCTGTATATTATACTATGTAAATATTCGATTTTCAGCTGAAACACGGTCTCGATTGATTACCTAGAAATTAATGAATGAAATAAAAGGAAATATATGAGAGCAATTCCTGAAACAGTTAGACAACACAGCTCTCAAGTAGTGTCAGAAGAATTTTACGCGTATTTCGCTCGTATTTTCAACACTAATAACTGAAATGAAGCCTCGAATGAAATTTCGTCATTCATGTTTTTCGTTTTAGTTTTGAATGCAAAATCCACCTCCTGTGAAAGTATTCAACATTTTCCTTAACACCCTGTATATCATATTCCAACGATTCAAATCATACGTGTAATTCTCGATTGGATGGGTTGATTTGTACTTTTACAGCATGAAAAGGCAATTCATGTACTCCTCTACTTAATCGAACGTCTAACGAAAATGATGTGACGGTTTGTGATCGCTAGTGAAATCAGCCGTTCTTTTCAACGTGCTTTTCTCTTCAATGAACAGAAACATAAAACAGGTGTAGTTACGCTACGCCATTCAACAGAAACGAGACAAGTGTTGTCAGGTGGATTATCGTAATTGGTGTTTATGATCTTGCATAGCAGTACTTGCGTATATGTATGGAACAGTAACGTGTAATGATGGTTAGTATGAAATAAATAGAGAAATGACAACATTTAACAGCAACTGGAACAACGTATTCGCAGAATAAACGAGCGATATGTATATAATATATGTAGTAGATATAGTATAGATATATATGTGCACGGCAATGAGAACGATCTGTACAAGGCGAACATGATCTCTATGAGCCCAACAAGGGTCTAAAGTAAAGAGAGAAAGAGTTACCTGGATGGAGGCATTCAAAGAGCGAGGGTCAAAAAAGGGGTTTCATAATACAGAATATATTACAAGGTTAGCGTTTTTTTTTTGTTGATTTTTTTTCAAAAAGAGTATAAAGAGATCAAAATGGTTTCAGGTAACTATATATATTCGGCCTAGCTAGGAGGGTCGAAAGGGCAGCAAACGTGTTAATTCGAACATGTCTAATGCTAATAACTCACGCCTGAGCCACTTCGAATCCACTCATAACATTACTACAATACTTCGATAATAATATCACACCAAAGTATCGACAAATGTCTAACATCCCGAACAGTGCCACACGGCCAATATAAATGATACACACAGAAAACACTCGATATAACTTCAACATCACTGTAATATAAATTCGATCCAATAAAACATCGATTCCCGTTACGAAAACAATTCCAGTGACCAATCGATACGATCGTCAAACAGATTCGAGGTGGCTCCGGCATATCGCAATTACGTAAAAACGAAACTCAACAGCGAAATTCAAGGAAAAAAACGTATCTTCAATATAGCAAGGATCAAAAAACTCGGAGTCAAGTCCAGTATAGAATCCGTATAATAATAAACAGTGGTAAATAGAACGAATGATCAGAAATAAAATGTCGATGCACGTGTTGTACGTGTACGTAGGCTGACAGGCAGGCGTGTGGTTGTGTGCGCCTGTACCGTGCGTACACGTACATACACAAACATCCCAACATCAGTCCAATTAAGAAATGTGTATCGGTTTTTTGCTTTGATAAACTACGCCACCACGACGGATGCCACGTACCTGATAGCTGAATTGTCTCACAACCTTGTACAATCTGTTCGCCTCCTCAGCGAAATACTCAGCTTGGGTGAACAGATCTTGGGTGGTCTTCAGATCGCCTTCGCCCTTCGTGAACTGGTACATCGACAACGCCATCGAGGACATGTTCTTCGCCCGTTTCGCGATGTCGTTGTTCTCCTCCAACGCGCTGCCGCTCTCCTGCCACCTGTCCGTCTCAGCGTCCATCTCCGAGGTGATCAGCTTCATCTCGAGGCCTGCCTTCGCGATCTTCGCTTGCTCCTCGCTGTCCAGTTTCGCCGGTTTCAACGGTTTGCTGGTGGTGCCATGTTTCTGAAAAATCATAGCCAGGTCTCGTTATTCCAGAATTCACCGTTTAGCATTCCTGGCTCTAAGGGATTCAGCGCGGTCTTAAAAAAGTGGACTGGAAGTTAAAGTAGATTCGTGTTACATGCTCTAGGGACACGGAAAAATTAGTGGTAGAAGCGATATGGTATGAGTGGAAACTTTCTTCAAACGGATGGAAACATTGAATTAAGAAAGAAGTTGGCTGTTCGAAGAATGAACCTCATTGGGAAGCTAAACTATATGGGAATTCAACGTTTCTTCTGTTTGAATTCAACGTCAATGGGTATCTAAATGCAGAAAATAATTTAAATATTGTGAATGGTAATCAAGATTTGTAGTTTTTTTGTTAGTAAAAGGACTGTTGTTTGATATGTTGAAGAGAATTTTTTTTGGATATTCCGGATTTTTATTGGATTTTATTGAACGGGCTATAGCTCTTTTTTTAAATGAAAATAGAAAATATTTAAAGAAAGAAATATTGTCTTTACAACGAAATCTTACCAGTTGGACCTCCAGAAAGTATGGTCACATTCTTTTTTTTAAAGTAGAACTACACGTTTCTTGTAAATAAATTATCTTCTTGATTCTGGCTATTGACATAAGGGGTTAAAGGGTACCGTAAATGGGTTCCTTGAATGTCCGTAGGAATATGAAGTGGTTAATGTATCGTCGTGTCTTAAGCAACGCGAGCTGCTAATACAATGGCCCCCATTAATTTTCTGCGCTGTTGAACCTTAATGATCGTCGTTTACTTTGATTACATACGACCCGTGCTGTTCTTAATTTACTTAACAAGGGTAGGATTACCAACTGGAATAATGGGATCCAATTTCTTTTCCTTGCGTAACAGCTACTTAACTATCCCTATTTTATCTTGAATGAAATTGTATTTAATCCATACATTGCACATAAATTAACAAAAAAACAAACCATTATAGCTCCTCGTGTTTATAATTTTCTGCATTTTGATAATCATTTTCGTTATTTCCTTTACCTATACCGTTTTTAGTTAAGAAGTTAAGTATAAAAGTATATAATTAATATATACGCTTTCTAGCATACCCAGCGTTTTATTATACTAATTCGAAGCCAGAAAATTGGTCTTTCAGCATCTACGGTTTTTCTTTCTTTGAATTAAAAAAGTGGCATGATGGAGCGAAGTGGACAGTGTGCGATAGAATATATTGATCAAAAATCTTTAAATACTTTGTAAAATTAAGCTCACGATCGTCCTGATCGTTTCGGGGATTATCGTAAACATGCACTAATTAAGGAAGTGCAAAAGTATGTAGAAGTGCACTTACGCCTGGCCGTGGCAAGGACATGTATACTTGCTTCTCTGGTTGATTCTGATGCCATTCGAGCACATCTTTCGCAGCGGAAGTCACGTCGTTCATGAGCCATTGCCACATATCGGCGAATACTGAAACAAACAAATACCATTCAGCTTATAATTCCTTGGAAACGCAGGTACGGTTTGTACTTTAAATAAATTCGATCGCTCAGATGAATGGGATCACTCGTTCGCTGAGAAGTGTACTTGGACTTTTCTTTAATGGAAAAAGGTGAATGTCATTGTCGAATCTATTTAATTTTTATTTACGATGCCATTCACGAGGGTAACAAGAACTTACGCTCTTGGATACGTTTCAAGTTACCTTCCAAATTCTCTTTGGCGATTTTACTGGTCGGGTGCTTTGCCAACGTGTGCGCAGCTGTCAGCACTTGGGGTCCGTACATCTCCAAATGGATTCCCGTGAACTTCGCTGACACTGAGAGTGTCTCCGTCGGCGCAACGTGCCTGATCATTCTGCACACCTGTTAATGGATGAGTTGATAAATGTCGAATTATACGTACATATATACATATATATGTAGATTTATACCCTATATGGATAAATATGTAGAGGATTTAAATACAACTTCAAAGACACTAAAGCTTAAACTTGTACACCCCAAACATGGCATTTTTAAGAAACAATTTCGATTTTAAATGTATCGTCGATCAGCTGTATTATTAATTTATTTATGTAACGGTCAGGTATCTCTGGCACCCCTGTATGTATAATATTTTTCGAGAGCCATGTGAAGCGTTAGAATAGAGAACACCAGAATTGTCAGCGTCTGTAATGTATTAATAAAATGAAAGTTTTTTTTTCTTACTCTATTTTTACTATCGACTTTTAATCTATGTTTTAGTCACGACCATTCAATAGAAATTGGATTTAAAATACATTTAGTCACAGGTTTACGTGAAGTATCTTTTCTAAAATTTAACAGGAAGACAAATGAAGTTCCAGATAAAACTGTATCTGATTTATTTCATTGGAAACATAACTCTAGAGAGAATACGAATCAGGAATGAAATTTATGTCACATCAAAACATATTTCTAGTATTTATTTTAGATCTATATTTAATTCATAATAACGAAACGTACGTATTCGATTTCAAATGTAGTTAAACTCAGCTATATGCAGAATTTCGTTCTAAAAAGAGATTCATATAATATGAAGTATTAATGTTCGAGATAAAACTGAGTCAAGTTTAAAGTACCAACAATATTCTACATAAAACTGAATCGAGTTTAATTCATTAGAAATATAATAGTAAAGGGAACAACGATTCATCAGTGATTTATTTATTTAACATTGAAATGATAAACTCACTTCGACAATGTGATCGAGGTACTCCTTGAACTTCTTCTCCTCGAAGCTATTGATGTCGTTGGCCAACGCGAGATTCTTGATCGTGGATACAAGTTCTAGGCCCGCTTTGGTCACCTGACCAAGATTCGTCATTTGCTCCATCGCCGTCGTGCAGAGCACCTGGCGGAGTTCTTTGGTGGCTTTGAACACTGCCTGTACAGCTTGTTCCATTTCAGCACTTGGGGAACCACTTCCGCCTTCGTAACTTTGCTACGAGAGATTAATAATAATAATCGTTTCATTCACACATTGCTCTTCCTTTACTACAGCAAGTCTTTCCGCGAGGAATAATATCGCTACCTCTGTTCCATTAATTTTTACTTAACCTTTGAAGTTACACTTTCGAATGAACGATATACAAAAGTAACAAAACATTTCTATGTTCTGAGTTTTTAAATCAATCAAATGTTAGTATAATATATTTATGTTGGTAAGGAGAAAGCTGATCTTAAGACTGCAGATTTTATGCACGTGTGCTCTTGTAACGAAGCGAGACAAAATAAAATTAGTAAGTTATTTCTGTTCTTACGAAACCCTTAACAGAGGAAGGAAATTTCTGTTTAAGTTCGATTATTCGAAAACAATTTAGGAGAATCGAAATTCACATTAGCATCTATAGTCTACTGTTCACTGAACTGCAATAAAATCAAGGAATTCTTACGGTTTATTCTAAAAGGAATCCCACCGAAACAACAAAGTAACATTCATTAGAAAAGTCAGAAATCCTCGTTATATTAAATGTATTCTAGGGTGATTGATAATTGAGATCTCGCCACAGAATCAGTTATCACTATACCTGTACCCATATATATTACTTGTTTTTTTCTGTGTTGCAAATGCCTCAAAAATGGACAAACAAAATAGATTGATAGGTGATATTTATGAATCATTCTAGTAAATAACTTCCCGCGATCAAGTTTAGATGACGGTAACAACGGTGCAGTGAGGTTCACTTATCTAATTGTTTTTTTTGTTTTGTCAGGAAGATTACGAAACACTTTTTAAATCATTTCTAATCGATTGCATGCAATGGAAAAGATCCAAAGGGAAGGAAAGTGGATGCCACATCAGTTAACCGAGGAGCATTGTGCAGAGCGTTTGGGCACTTGTCGCGAGACCGCATCTTGCTGTGGAGATGAAAGAAATACTATTTGATCACGAATGGAAAGTCCTACCTCAACCAGCGTACTCTCCAGACATCGTACCATTCGATTTCGATCACTTCTGGTTAATGCAGCATGGCCCCTCTGATACACGCTTTTGAAATGAAGCGGAAGTCGAAAAATAGGTCGATGACTTTATCGCCTCAAAGGAGGAAGTGAATTTTTTTGCCACGGTATCCGTATGTGGCCTGAGAGATAGCAAAAAGTAGTAGTTTCCGATGGGAAATACTTCGACTGAAAGCACTGGACCGTTCCTTTTATATTAATGAATATACTTTCGAACAAAAGTGCGAGAATTTATTTATACACGTAATACTATTAACACTCGAATTACCAGCGATAAACATTTATGTATTTCAATTTAATTTGCGAAAGTGTAAATTTCATCTACAAAATGGTGACTTTGCTTTACAAACGGGTGAATTGAATTTGTAAACTTGTGAACTTGGAGTGCAAAACCCATAAGTTAACTCATTTCTTTACTTTCATATCGTAATAAAAGTTGCAAAAGGTCTGAGAAAATGTATTGTCATAACATTTTAATCATCGCCATAAGAGTGTATTATCAAGTCATTTCCACTTGCTGAGTAGTTCTAGTGTTAAGAAACTGTTGTGATTGTCAGTAGAAAAAGATTCTACTCCGACTTCCCGTGGCGGTTCTTATATTTTCGTTTGCGTTTTTTAAAAGAGTGAACGGCTCGCCGCTGTCGTCTATTCACTGGCAGCATGCTCTTCTAACTGATTCAGTTTAGTCTGCCCATTCATTGGGATTTACGACAGAATGTCAGCTCTTTTCAACGCGGATCAAGCCAACTCGGATTATCCCGCCGCTTATAATCCGGTATTATATGAATTTTTTTGCAGCCCAATTTTCCACACCGTCCGAGAAAATTGGTTCGTTCGAGCGTGGACAGTATCGACATGGCGACTTTCCCGTTAGTTGAGCGTCTCTAATCAACAAACTTCTATGAAAAGCTACGACTTTCCAATTTTCTTGATGAAGTATTCGACTGGTACGAGTTTGTGCGAGTGAAATTAAATTTTTCGCTCATTTTCTCATGGTTGTGCATTTTTATTTCTGATCTTATAATCAATTTAAGCGGATGGTTGTGGGGGATTGAACACTATTGCATAGTTTCTGTATATGGAAAACAGAAAAGGACAAGTATAAGCAGTAAATTGTAAATGTTAATAGCAGTATGAATTTCTGTGGATTAATTTACGAAAATTGAAATCTAACAGAAATTTGCTTCCCCTATTAAAGGTTCCATCAGTTCTCCATGGAACTTATCACATGAAAATGTCCCATTATCCTATTAATATTCACTATTACTTTTGAAATATTCTTTAGCTAATTCCTAGTCTTAAATTCAAAATATCCAGTGCCACATTATTATTATTATTATTATTATTATCATTTTATTTAAATCAACAGGATATAATCTCCTTAGTGACAGATGGCATTAACATTCATTACATAAGTAACTGGTGTCATAATCGAAGGTTTCATTGTATAATACCGTAATTACGCAAGTTCATTTACTGTGTCTTTAAAGGATGCAAATCAGATCCCGAATATAGGTCTACTGCATCAATGTACTTATACCCTACGCTACAGAGACAATTTACTGGCTCGCAGAAGCCTGTATTACATTAGTATAAACTAATATAAAAAGTCTAAATTGAGGTTTGGCAAGGATATAAAAAGTTTGACTTATTTAACATTCGAGTGCAGCATTTGATAATTCCGTTAATTATTTTGAACACGAAAGCTAGGTCCAAGGTAGTTTTACGTGTTAAAAAGTATTCTTACCGTGGTGTTACCGACTCGTAGCAGGTAGTTCAGCTCCAGCTGCACTCGGTCGCACAGCAAAAGGATGTTTTCTCTGTGTTCATGGCTGGTGTACGCGCTGTCAGTGAAATCCTGTGTCCTGTCAATGACGTTATTGAACGCGTCTAGCAGGGTACTTCGGCTCTCCGGTCCTAGTAGGGTCATCCTCGTTGTTTCCACGAGTCCCTCGAAGTGTTGCAATGAGAACAATGCTGTCTTGCGTTCCCAATCCAGTTCCGTTGTCTCCTGAAATCATATGGGTCTCTATTATGGGGGTCTGTAACTTCTCCAATCGATTCAAGTTTCGCAGAACATGCCAGTGGTGCATTCTGAAGTCACTGAACGGGTAAAATCAGAAACTTTCGTCTGAACCCAACATCTTTTAACCCCCTTTTTACGGGTAAGAAGAGGTAGTTTCTTAGATATATAATACATATAAATTAAGGATAATTCTGATACGGGTATTATTTTCCAGTGTCGTTATCGCAAAAGAAGCTTCAAATGTAGGTCTTTTCTATACCATTAATAAAAAAATAAATGAATTCTTCCCAACAGATGATTTAAACGAAAATAATAGTTAGAAGTTGTGGTTGGTAATAGAATGCAATTGCTAAGCTTAAACTCTCATTTTACCAGCACTGTAAATTACAGCAAGAAGAGAAGAATGAAAGAAGGTTAGTCAATTCCCTTTCTAAATTCAGTTCCTATAATGAATATATTTTTTAACACATTGACTACCACAGTGAAAATGGCCGTACGTAACCAGACACACTTTATCTCGTTTCTTACGTCATAAATTGTCGAAGTATGCGTATAGTTAATAGAGGCTATTGGTCTTGTTTTATATTATACTGCGATCTTAATTTTACGCAAAAATTTTATAACAATATTTAGATAGTCCAGCTTCTTTGCAATGTACGTGTCACACATATTTTGGTGACGTGGAAGTCAAAGTGTGAATCTATATGTATTTTTTACTAAAATTTCCAGTCTACTTTTTGTTTTTAATAAAGAAGTTTTGCGGCAGGGCACACTACGAATTTTTGTAATCCCAGTAATATATTTCCCCGGAAGTTTATGCTCCTAACTCAAAACCGCGGCACATACGTTATAAAACGTTATTATGTTTACACAGTAAACACGATCTAGGATCAGTATAGGGAACGTTAATGACAGGCTGCATCTAAATATATTCTGTCCTAAGGTCAGCATATACACATGCAGTTCAACCAACTGCATTGAACCAAGAGTTAGAAGGCATCCAACTATAAAATACCCGAGCGATACGGCGATTGAGTGTCTACATTTTCCAATGCAACTATCCGCGCGAGAATCTCGAACATAATCGAGCAACTTCAGTTACTTTTTCCATTTAATCTTATTGAATATCGGTTAATCAGCTCGTTATAAATTTTTCGCCACTTGATAATTCCTTTTAAATTAGTCGGTCATACCTTCAATCTTTATCGATTCAATATCATTTAATATCGTTAATTTTTAAACCGAGAGTCTTTTAGCTGTTTGAATTTTTAATATAAATTTATAATATGAAACAACTTCGGTACTTTGTCCAGTTCCAGCAGAGAATTTTAGAAATCGAGTCTTCGAACCCCATCCCTGACTTTACAAATAAAAATAAAATATCTTTAATTCTTGGCCTTATCACATCGAGTCAGACTGATGGCAACAATTTAAATAGATCCAACAAACATAAATATTATTCATTTTCTTTGAGTCAAAGTGAATTACTACTTTGCTGACAGGATGTAATATTTAACATGTAGAATGACTGTACCGTTGCGATAAGTAAAAGAATTCCTTTTGCTTCTGGGAAACTATTGACAATAAAGTAATCCTAGGGACTGCAGATATCAAGAAAATCGTAACGCAAGGGGTTAAGCTCCAAAATACAGGGGACAACAAAAGCCTATTAAAGAGATAAATTCAACAAAAGCGGAGCTGAGGACAATGTCCTGAAATTTCACTATACACATCGCGTTAACAATTACCCCGTTGCGTCTCACAATTCAATTATCCGAATTGTTTGTAATAATGTGGAGGCTTGCCACTGTATTCGTCAGGCTTAATTCACACGACTCCGTATTACACATCTGTCTCCTGAGGGAGCGAGGCGTTTAGGGTCATTTAAACGAAATAATTTCCCAGTATCTGGCCCATTGTTCTTCCGTGAGATTTGGCCGGCCTCCCAGTCCCTGGCTGGCAAGAAATTTAAATAATGTGTCGGTGCATTAATGCGCCGGAATCTCGACGCCGCAATTTGGCACGTGTGACGGAAGAACGCTCAGCTAATGTCGTAGACATTCATCGGGAGAGGGCGTCGTTTGCTATGCATCCGACCTGTCCGTGGTACGATATCAATTTCCCCCGCTGTCGATACGTCGTCGTCGGAAGATGTGTCGAAAATTTTCGAAATGTCCGCCCGGAATCGTGTTCCAAGTCGCCGAGACGGTGTTGGTATCCTGGATTATAGTATGGAATATACAGGGTGTCCCAAAATAGCTTCGACTCCCGGAAATGAGAGGTTCCTGGGGTGATTTGAAACAACTTTTTCCTTAGCGAAAATGTTATCCGAGGCTTTGTTAACGAGATATTAATGAAAAACCCCGACCAATCAGAGCGCGAGTTTGTCGTTGCGTTGGTTATGCGCTGCGATTGGTAGCCAATGCTACCTTGGGGTTTTTCGTTAATATCTCGTTAACAAAGCCTCGGATAATATTTTTCCCAAGGAAAAAGTTATTTTAAATGATCCCAGGAACCGTTTATTTTTGGGTGTCGAAGCTATTTTGGGACACCCTGTATATTGCAAGATTTCAGATACTTCGTCTCGCGTGTGTATCGGATAGGAGAGTGTCGTGGATGTTCTATCGAACGTCGATGAGCGCGAAGGGATGCATCGGCGATGATTCACGTTTTCCACGATAATGCTATATTTTGAACTGGGACACAGTGAAATAGTATTGTCGTTTTTATGGTATTTTGTGTTTTTCTTGGTAGTTTGCCCATGAAGACAGCCATCGTAAAGCGATATTCAGAAAAGAAATTAGTTAATTAATCTACGTGAATCTGATTGGTCCAAAGAATACAAATTTATCATAATATAAAGGAAATTCAACCCTTGAAAACAACAAATGTTCTTTTAAGTCCTAACTTCGACACTTTGAAAGTTTTTATTTCTTTAATCTATTTAGTATCTAATTTTAATATCTAATTTTAGTACCTCCAAAAACTGACAACAATTAAAAATGTATGTTGATACTAAGATAAAATTTTGTTAAATGTTGAAATAAATAGCTATACAGTAGATGATATTATAGTCTGTTTGATTATTATACTACTTTCCTGTTGTATAATATGTATTAAAATTCCTAAACTTTAAACTCAGTTTTCTCAGTTTAAAAACTAGTGGAGATAGCACAATTAAGAACTAGAGTAAGTAGAAAAATTAAGTACTGTGTAATTAAAAATTATGTCCAAAATTTAATGTATTCTTCTTATCTGCATTTCTAGCATCTTACAATGTAATATATTTTCCTTCATTTTCAATATACAATTTGCGATTCCGTATATTATTTGTTCAAACGAATTTTTCAGTTTTCTACGAATAAAGTGAGTCGTTGCACTATATAATATGTACGCATGATTCTTAACTCGAAATATTCAGCTTCGTAATTTTTCCACTCTCTACTCGATCGATCGAACAAGCAGTTATAAAAACCGTGGCCACTTTTTATGGTTTTGCAAACGATTACACCAACTTCACCTCTTTGATATCACCTTCTGCAAGGCAGCCAATGCAGCTCAAGGTCAACGAGATTGTGTGTTAGCGGCAAACCACGCGTCATAATTTAACCAACGAAAGCTCTTTGGACTACTTCCAAAATTTCTTACGTATTTCATCGTGAACACCATTCTTTCTCTTCTCCGACGATTTCGAGGAGGAACGCGTGACTATGTTTGCCGGTCATACAAGAAGACAATAAACAACGTCGAATGGCGCCAAAAGTCTGTGTCAACGTACCGTAAGAGAAACATTTAAACCGTATCTAGTACGAGATTGCATCAAGGACACAGGATACTTCAGATTTTCAGTGAGTGGTTCGAATAGAACTATGTATCCAGATCTTTGGATTACTTTCCAGTTGCAATGCAATTCTGAAATTGCTATTTTTTTATATGACGAGTTTTGTTCGCAGTGGAAAGTTAAAAGATTACAAACAACATATTGAGGCGATGTCTCGCACGTAGTAAAGTCCAAACGTTCAGCATATGCATATACAATCATCGTTTCTTAGTAATTAAAAATGTTAAAAAATAGGAAATTATAGATATTTAAATAATAGCTTTTATTCATTTTCATCAAGTAAATCAAACTTTTGGTTTTTATTGCGTAGGTACTCAGGTTTTGTATTACCAAGAAATTATTGCCAGGCAATTGTGATCTGTTACATTTTCTTAGAAAATTTATCGAAACATAAAAATATCTCCGATATGTTATTATTAAATTATTAGCAATATCTATACAAATTTTACACTGATGTAATTATTTTGTGAATGATGAAACGATCAACCCATTATACTATTATTAAAATTTATGCAATGATCAGCCCATTATACTGTTATTAAATTTATTTATGAAACGATGAGCCCATTATACTGTTATGAAATAGAGATTTTATCGACATTTCCTGTAACGCATATATTCTCGATAATATCTGCCACCAGCCAATCTTTGACAAATTTCTACAAACCATCGCTATTTGCAGAGAGAACAAAATCCAATAAAACACCTGAACATGGCTTTCATTTTACAGCTGAATGTATCGTTGCACACGACGTTTATATTTATCCTCAACGATATATGACGATTCATTCAGTTGGCAACGAATTTCGGTGTTGATAGGACTTTCGATTGACTTCGTTCACTTTTCAAACGTAACTTTAAAATAGGTATACACACGTGTAAGCACACGTATTATTCTTTAAGTATTAATTTTCTGTATTTTTACCATTAAAAGTATTAAAATAATGTATGTTAAACAAAACTTTATTTTAAAAAATTGTGGCACTTTATAATTCCCATGTGAATGTATTAGATTAGAGCTTTTTCTCTTTGCCGATTTCTCTCAAATGTGTCGATACTGTCATATCAGTCGCATCAATTTGTACCATGAATTCTGCAAGTTAACTAACTACACCTTCAAACCTTTCATTACTCACATTTTCTATTGTAATAGAATATACAATAGCGAACAAAAAGTTACCACTTTTTCGATTTGTATTATTTTGATTATTTTGTTAACATTAATTTAAAACTTTAGTATGTGTTTAATATATATTCTGGTAGGGCATTCAAAATTTTATAAAACACAGTATGTTACAGTTTTTTAAGTAGACATTAAGAAATAATAGAAATATAAAGAATCAGAGAAGTGGTAATCTTTTTATCCGTTACTGTTTGCAAATGATCTAAGAGTACTCAAAGGTTCGAGCGATAAAGTATATCCACAAAAATCATTAATATTATGCTTTCCTTCGAGATTATATCTAATTCCTAATAAGTTCAAATATATAAACAATAGCAATTATTGATGAGAATGCAGCATAATAAATAATGGCAAAAATATAATAAAATTATAGAATTGATTACCAACCTTTAAATATTTCCTCATGTGGCGGTACACCACACCGTCTTTAACAATGAAGTGTATCATGTCCATGGCTCTTCTCATCTGACAGAACACAGTGTCCCGATTCTCCTTGGCAGCCGGACATTCCGGATGCCTCAGGTAGGTTTTGCTGGATGTTAACAGCATCATGGTGCTCCTTTCCAAAATCTGCCGGCACACTGCCATCTGTGCCCTTCGTCGCTCGTCTATCAGGTCGATCTGGAATTTCATTAGGACACTTTCGTTTAACGAACCGTAATAAATGATTTATAATTCCGTCAGTTTTTGTTGTTTTCCCTTGATACCAAAAACTCATAGTTTGTGTAAAAAAAATCCCCAAAGAACCTCAAAAAATGACAAACTAAACTAAAATACCCGTTTAAGAAAAATCGTTTAACGACTCACTTGGCGATCACCTGTCAGGTGGGCCAGGTCCACCATTTCTGTCCCAAACTGGCTAAATGCTTTCACGAATTCGGTGAAGTTCGAGACGTCCTCCAACCGGTCAAGGATGCTGGCCACCTTGTCCTTCGCGCTAAGGAGTCGATTGACCACGACGACGTCGGCCACGAGGAGGACTCTCGTTATCCAACCCAGAAGACTTTTGGATGCCTTGATCAGCGCGCTCCTGTCGGCTAGGTTGTCATCCATCATACACTCGCACAATTTCTCGATCGCCGAGCCTGGAACATAATTGATATTCTATTAATCACTAATTTCGTGTGTGTTCTTCGAACGACAATAAATATAGAGATAAGAAAGAATACAGCATCATTGACATTTTCACATATTTATTCATTTATTTCAATGGATTTTCCAACTTTATTTTATGAAATGTACCTAATAGGTCCTTGGAAAATATTATAAATGGCCGTTTAAATATGGTGTAGTTACTGTGGTTCATCCTACAAAGGAATGTGTAGAATTTCCTCTAACAGGTAATGCAGGAAATTTAAATTATAAAGAAAGTAGATGCTTTTTTTACGAATCGTATTTATTTTGGCGAGTGCTCAAAAAGTTACAGACCTGTCAGTGATTTATCGAATGTCGAAGTTAAAAATACGTTTTCAGTTCTTTTGTACGTCATTGAATTTGTAAACACGAAAATTCCTCTAAATATTGACGTCAACTTGAAATCATTATGAACTAATTGTAAGATCAAGATTTAGCATTCTCGATATATAAATATATTTAGCAAATGTATGGAACGTAAGACCCTGAGTTACATTTACATGCGGCCGGTATTATATGCAAACTGGTCCATGTAAATCTATCTCCTACACGTAGGCATTACGATCTCGCTCTTCTGGCTGTCTCTACTATGCACCAGCTTCGTCTCCAATATCGTCCTTTGCCGACAATCGAATTTCATTTCATCCCATCCGATGAATATTCATCATCTTATGAAATGCGTCGAACGTGTGACCAAGAATATCGAATATATTACAGTTTTTCTCGCTTTCTTCGTGGGAAATCACAATGGACGAGTTCCTTTTTAATAAGAAAATCCAATCAATTTTTTTGATCAGAATATTCATTGTCGTTTTTCGTCCTCGTTTCCACGGTGAGAATATCTTTATCAGAAATCAATGCCATTGATGGCTTTATGTATAAATACTTAAAATTTTCGTGGTAGAGTTTGTTGTACACAATATTATTTCTGATATACTGTGTTTTGATTCTGTACGTAAATCCATGCGAAAATCCATCGGATGGATTATTTAGGGTTAAAAAACTTTGGACCAGTGCAACAGTTTTCGATGGGTTTTGCTCTAGAAGAGTAGACTCATAATAAATTTAATTACAATTTAATAATATTTTAATGAAATAAATAATGATTCTTTAATAACATATAAATTTTTAATAGAAATACTCATTTTAATAAACAAATTTTTGGAATACTATTATTTAGTAAATTTATATAATTAAATTATGTTAATAAATTTACAGTGTCCCACAGAGTGAGGTGACCGTAAAAGCTTCTCCAACCAGATCACTAATTTTTTCTTTTTTGGTGTTTGTAACGTTTACTCCTTTCAATAACTCAATTTCAATTTCATTTTAAACAGTAAAACACACTCAATTGGGTCAATTTTTGTGTTACGTGATTTATTGTACCTTGATAAACGATCACAGACTGTAATCGTCCTTTAAGAGTTTATTGGTACTTCAATAATGCACATATGTTTAGATATTGCGTAGCGGTTTCCATCTCTTAATAATGTAAACTTCAAACTGCAAATGGCGATTGAACTCCCTTATTTTACTGTTCCATTACATGGAATATGGAATATGGAAAGTGGGTACAGGTGTTCCTCTATAACAGCGTGTCAAAGCTCTGTTCGTAAACTGCTTGTTTCGATGACCATAATATTCTACGTCCCCAGAGACACTCACTTCGTCCATTTATCCCTTGTACATTTCCATGAACACATTTCTGAAGAAGAAAAAAGAAGAAGATATTTCTCGAAGGTGTGGTAAATAATCTGACCATCAACGAAATCACTTTATCAAGACACTTCGAATTTTAACGTGGAAGTATTTCGATTAAAAAGTAGGGTGAGCTACAATTTTTGAGAATTTTATCAAATAAGCAACATCAACGTGTTCAATAAATTTCTTTAAAAAAGTAATTCTCGAACTTTTGCCGTATAAACGCTCGTTAGTTTGTATTATCCTATATATCAACAATATTGCATTTTTTAAATGTAACATTGAAGTGTTCAATTTTCTGCGAGGATTAAATAATCTCGAACAAAGCAGACGCTGGAAAATTTTCTTTTTACTTCACGCCAAAATATTCGAAGCTCGTGCTCTCTAATTAAGCAATTAAGCCACGTCGTAAAGCAACTACACGGGGTGCGGGGGCTTATCAACATTAAATTATGTTCCCTTAACATACATTTTCATCGGAGATGCTTCATAAATTGCATACTTCCGGTATTATATAATCGTTACGTGAATGACGAAGCATTTCCTCAATTTGACGAGAATTCCAGAACCTTTCTGCTTTAAAACTACAATTAATTGATCGCAATTATTTCGTATGATAAGCCTTTTCTTGTATTAATCTTCGTTTTCCATGGAATTTTGCCTTTTTTAAATAACAGCTGCTTCATTATCATTCTACTGTATTCCTACCTGTAACTATTAAGTTTAGGTTTTGCTTTTGTTCTTCGTCTTTTAAATTCTTTTTTAAACACTTTTAAGCACTTTATTTGTAACGAACATATCTTTCCAAAATAATATACGTTCCAGTGGTATTAATTGCGTTCACGGTTTCCACGGACTCGCGGAAATTCAGATTTGCTACACGTACCCGTAACTTTGGTGATAAATAAGCCCCGAAAACTCATATCCATATGACACGAGAACACCATAAATCGTCTGATTTTGATCTCCGCCGGATCTTCCCTTCTGGAAACCACGAGCATTCAGATACACCCTATATCTTCCCTCGTGTCAGATTTTTTTAGTTCCATACTCAGTCACTTAAAATAGATTTGCTTAATCCATTTTATCGAAATTCCATTTTTCTTTGGTACGCTGGTGTCGATGGCATCGATAAGAATTTTTATCCCGGTACATTTTTCGAATATTAGCGTACGTGATTAATCGAAAATTTATCGACGTATTTTCATTCAATTTTACAAGAGATAAAAACGAATTCACTTAAATTGTGAGTTCTAAATTCACTTGTTCCAATGATACTGCCATATCGATTTACTGTAGGAATTAGGCCAGATTTTATTAAAAAAACGATGCGTAATAGATAAAAATAAAGATAACTGAAATATGAAAGCCTTTGAAATTTATCATTCTATATATATTTCACACACTCATATTAAAATTGCGTTCTATCTGATGTCTGTTATTAATTAAAAACGAATTTAGTCTGAATTAAAAACGAAATTTAGTTACATTGTTGGTGGTTCTGACAGGTAAAAAATTAAGTGAAAGTAAAATGAGTTTTAGATTATTATTAGGTACATATAAACACATAAGATCTGCGGTCCAATGACAATACCAAAATAATTACAGAAAAGACCTTTTATATATTTCTCACAAATATTACTGTCTCTAGTTTCACAGATGGTATAAGAATCGAATAGATCTTCGACAGTGTATTCTGTACATTTGCAATGGATAACGAACAACATCTAGTCCGAACTTCGATTTTCTACCTATTACAAAGTTTCATTCGGTCGTACAAGTTTCGAAGTTCATACATCGCTTGTTCGTACATTTTCACGACTGTCGGTAGTGAAAAATAAAGTTCGTGGACTTCCTATAGGTACTCGATGGAAGAAGCAGGAAGTTACCACGACGACGAACCGAACTTTTATGGGTTCTAAAATTCCTTAATGGAGATACTTCTGTGTTGTGCGACATTTTTGTTCCACCTTTTTCTTTTTAGTTTAACCTCTGTAACTTGATTTCTCAGTTATCGAGCATTTACTATAGTTGTTGCATTATTCATTGTTCAGACGAGTCGTCTGTGGTTAAAGATAAACATGAAATAAAAAGTTTCCTGAATGTTCATGAAATTTTCCACATTTCTACGTTCCAAAGTATCCTTTAAACGCCACAGTACAATTTGAAATATTAACGCAAAATTCCCTATCCAAACTGGAAAGGAACTCGATGGAAGCGCTGCAACGAAAATTCGTGCAAGCACTTTCACAGGGAGATAAGATTCATATCTGACAATGAGCTTGAACGAGATTCATTGAGTTATCGATTAATGGTTGAATAAAACGCGAGACCCCCTCCTCCTCGGATTAATAATACCGAGAAAGTTTAACGAAGCGTTACCAGATAGCGTTTTTGTACTCGACTATTGTGCCGAACGCCCAGGGAACGGGAAGTAAATGACGTAGAAGGGATGATACGGTATGTCGAACGCGACTAAATTATCTTGTTTTCTTTCCTCGTTATTTCTTATTTTTCGCGATCGAGTAACAAGTTTCCCATTTTTCCGTACATTTTTAAACTCCTCTTGAAGGAAACTTAAGTTTAATTGCAGTACTTCTTTTTTAGCGTTCTGGATTACTGAAAGAATTCAAGTGACAAAAATATGAGTAATGAAACGGGGATAATTTTTTTTAGTGATTGTTAAAAATACGTTTATTGCGTGATCTCGATTCTGTGGAAGAAATAAAATGTTGGTGATTAATATGGTATTATGTATGAAAACTACGAAACCAAGAAAATAGAAAATAAAAGTGAATCTGGTTTTTTTGTTCTGTATGGTGGATGCATTTGAAATTAAATAGATGTGTGCCGGAGATGATGAAAGTAATGTAACACTTATCTACACACGAAGTAAATTTGAAAAGGAGGTCTCGTATATTCCAATTTCATATAAATCTCAAAATAACTCCTACAACGATCATGTTTGATTAAACGTTTCCTGCCAAGGATAATAAAATTTGACTTTATAATTTCCACGAATACATACATGTGCCATTGCATACGTTTACGTTCACCCGTTATATGGACCCTCCGTTTATGTTCAATAAGAGATACTGGCGGATCGGTATTATGTTACCGTAAAAAATTTCAGATATCACTCAGACGGTGCCATTTTTACGATTTTCCATTTGGCATTTTACACTTAGATAGTAACCCAGCAGGGATGACTGCGTAACGTAATCAGTTCAGCCGCCTTGATAGCGAAACC